ACATCTATCTCTAATAATCATCGGCCCATTATTCGTCCAACTCCTGAGCACAGGTTCATTTGAATTGTCATTTTTTGTAAATTCATACATACTTCCACTTTAGATGTATGTCTACTAAAAATACAAAGACGAGACGTATTGTGTAGTTATTAATTTTATTTCAAAACAGATTTTGCGCTTTATTCTTCTCACGTTTAGAGTGTTCTATATATTTTTAGAATAGAATAGAATCATTTATTTCATATCATGAATGTCACAATATTACAATTAATAATCTCAGTACAGAGTACTAAAAAACTGACCTCAAAAGTACTTGGAATTACGTTTATTTGCCAAGTTTTATTGAAACATCCCCTAGTTCGCCACTATACAGGACTTGACACAGGAGATAATAAAAATCGGTTCTCACTACTCAAAGTATATTGAGAGAGAAAAACGCCTTGAATTGGAGAATAGCAAAACCAACCATTAAAATAATTGCTCCTTAAGTAAAATTTAGGCGCTATTTATAAAAATGAAACAATAATAATTGATTTAAAATAAAGTTGTATAACTACTGCTTGCCTAAATACAATGAAGTCGAGTAAAACAAAATTTCAATTGTTTCAAAAGACACTATAGAATTCATTATCCATTAAAAGGAGTTTCAGTCGGGTATTAAACGTTTCGTCGTTTGTAACACTTTTCATGTTTGTGGGTAGATTTTTGTACGAAAGCATTAAATATTAAAAGTTATGGAACAAAAGGTGTTCTTTATGATGTTAGTAATACAGTCTTGTGAACTCGTTTTACAAATAACCCTGATGACGTTCAGTCAACCGTGATCAAGTGATGTGACGGACCGAAACATTGGATTGTTTGAAAAAGAAACATTTGTTTTTACGTGATTTACATCCGCGTAATTTAAATTTTGACACTGTAATCTCATGGTAGATACCTTGGTTATCATATCCCTTCTTTGTGCAGTTACTGTGTATGTAATATTAACAAACGCTTTAACTCACTTTAGCTTTTTTTTTAATTTCAGATGCCTTAATACGTAAACTTCAGTTTAAAGCGACGAGAAAAAAAATACAAAAAAAAATATAAATTAGTTTATAAATAGGTATACATACAGACAATTCGTAAATGTAATTTAACTAATTTGTAAGGGTAATGGGTTACAATTCTGTTATTCATATTTAGAAAACTAAACAGTATAACTTTTTTTATAGAAAGAAACCGACCCATTTATTTGCCAAGTTTCATTGGAATCGGTTTTTTTTTTCAAGTTTGAGGCCGGGGCCGCTTCTAAATTATCCTCTTTCCAACAAAAAAGAACCATCGAAATCGGTTCACAAATGTCGGAGTACTTGTGTAACACCTTCTCTTTTGAAGTCCGTTAAAAACTAAAACCAATGCTCATTCGCACTGAAATAAAAAAGACTAACTAAGTGAGCGTGTTGTGTGTGGATTGTCTACGATTTGTCTCGAGCGCAGACGTCACATGTGCGGGTATGGAAGGGGTATGATAGTGTATGGCCTTATTCAGAGGGGTGGCGGGAGCGGGTGCGTGTAAATCAAATGTACGTTGACGCTCCTTACGTTCACAGGGTAGATAATGGCTCGGTTCGCCCGTACACTGTGCTTGGTCTAGCGTCTGTTAGCGATTTTGACGTGTGGCTTTGCCCGCTCGTAGCCACTTCGGCACTGTGAATGGGAAGACGCCAATACCCGCGCTCCCGCACTCGCCGCCGCGCCCGCGCCTCCACTCTGAATGAGTCCTTTGACTTCGACCGTCAACCCGGAGGCACGTTGTGGCGTAGGCGAGCCAAATACCAATACGCTATTACTTGCACGAGCAGACAGTACAGAGAGTATCAAGCTTTTCAATAGAATTATTCATTATACTAAACGTGAACTATGATGATCCCCGTGACACATCGTTTGACGTTTGTCATAGGGACGAGGTAAAGTCGATCGATTTTGAGTGTTTTTTTTTAAGCAAAGGTTCTCTTTTTATATAGTCTTGTCTGTTTTGGATATTGAGTAAAATGACAGTTTATAGCGCAAAAGTGTTGCCCGCCTGCGAGCAGATAGTGAATGCAGTCGATAAATAATCTATCGACTATAGACTGAATATTGGTCACGCTTAAATATAAACAGCCCTAGTTCATTTGAATTGTCATTTTTTGTAAGTTCATACATATAATGTATTTAGAAATATGTTTATGAAAAATACAAAGAGGTGACATATTTTAAAGTTTTTTGTTTTGATTCTATATAGATAATCTAATCCGGCTGTTTCTGTTAAAATGTATATGAATAAAAGTCGATCTCGATATTGGTAGTCCCAATGCAATTAGTAATCATTAGAAAGTAGAAACATTCACAATTCAGTTATTTTATCTATCGATAAAACTATCGACAACAACTACATACCTATTTAAAATTTTATAAAAATTGGCAGCCCTACAAATGTCATTTTACTACGTCTTCAATAAAGACAAACTAGTTTAAATTTCCTAAGTATTCTGAACGACATAGAAGTGTGAAGCGTTTTTTAATCATATTGAAGGCATAAATTACAACCATGGTTTGCATTTCATAGTTATTTTAGAAAATGTAAGAAAAACATTTATCATGTCATTAATTTATAGGTTTCAAAAAGTAGTAACACTGACATGACAAAAGTAGTAACATTCATTGTCTATGATTAAAATTCATACTTGTAAGCATAAATACCCACATTATACATTTTTCTTTAAATTATCCAAAACTTCTTATCGAAATACCTCATCTCTATCAAATGCAGTTAATGAAGTTACCTTTGCAGGTAGTCGTAAAAAATTAAAGAATTAAAAAAACAATCCCTCACTTCTCTGAAATGAACATTGATTTGGGGTTATTTTTGCTTTAATTTAACGTATTTACTTAAACAAAGGCATTTAAAAGTGAGGCATCGAGTATATAACCAGAAATAGAGACGAAATAAGGGCCATATATGCCTGGTAACACATTAGCGATACAGCTCTTATAAATATGAACTCCCGTTTGCACTGAAACGTAGACAGGCCAACTACTGTATTAATTGTAATAAAGATAATATCTCTAACAATGCCGCGCTGTTCTATTCGGTGGTGTGGGAAAAACAGCAAAACATCTAATTACAAAACAAACGGAATCACATTTCATCGGTAATTACATATTAAATTTGCAATTTTCGTCCATTATAGCAAAGCTCAAGTTAACTGGTCGATTTGAAGTGAAACAGTTGACGACACTTATTGACGACACCCGTCAATTGTTCCGAATTCGGGCTGGCCAATCGGAGCGCAGTTGTCACAGTAATGATATGGCAGAATAGTTATCAAACATATTAAATGACATTTCGTCTCTATTTCTGGCTATATGCTCGATGAAGTAAGTAAAAGTAAATAGTTTATGAAATACGTAAATTAGTGCACGTCGTTACATTGTTATATTGTGTAGATTTTTATGTACTGTCACAGTGATCATCCTAGATAATTTTTGGTATACTTGATCCAATTCATTATTTGCTTAAAAATTATTGCTTCAATTGTTGTGCTTAAATATTCTGAGATGGAAGAACCTTAAATATGTTCATTTAAATTTTTTTCAGTGTAGATATGTATTTAGTTTATATGACCAATAAAAAAAAACAACTGCGTAGTAAAACAGATTATTGCTGAATCATTTAGTTTTCTAAATATGTGCTTCGGAATTGACTATTTTTTTAGATATCTGTTCTTATAAAAATCGTAATTGTATCATTTGTATGACCGTACAGGGTCTTTTAGGCTAGTCATTATAATGTCATATACAGGATTATTTGTAATATATTGACAACCTCGCAGGAGTGTATTACTGACATCACAAACAATAACCTTTTTCCATGAGTTTTTACAAAACATAATAAATATACCAGAAATAAACTTAAGTTTTTATTGTACTCTCTCACTTTTTTGGATCTGTATACATATTACCGTTTAGAGCGTAGGTTCCCAAACCTTTTAGCTCACCACCCACTTGGGCAAGATAAAAAAGTTCCAACCTCACCACCACAAAAAATAATTGGAAAGTACGTATTTATTACATGAACTTAATACAAAAATCACAAGGGAAAAAATCTAGTATACTTGTTATAGATAATTTGGTTTTAAATTGCAGTAAGCACCCACTGGACGGCATCATTGTCCCCCAATTGTTTCCGAGGCCCCTACCGCCTAGGACTCTTCAGCGCCCACTGGGTGGCGGAAGGAACCACTTTAGGAAACTATGGTTTAGAGCATCAAACGTAAAGGTGTCCTCCCCGACGGACCCCACCCTTGCTCCCACGTTTTAAATTGAAGTGTTATTTATTTATGCCAGGGCTTTAAAGTAAAATAAGTTGCTATAAACCAGTTTTCCAAAGTGATCTCTACCGCACCCCAGTGGGCGCTGAAGAATCCTAGAGGGGCTTCTAGGGACCTCTTTAAAGTAAAATCTGATGCTATAAACCAGTTTCCCAAAGCTGTCCCTACCGGGCGGTAGTCCCCCCGTGGGCGCTGAAGAGTCCTAGAGGGGCCTATAGGGGACATAATGGGAATGCACCCTTACAATTAAAGATCTAAAGGGCATCATATAGTACATCAAGAACATTAAAGATTATTTTTAATATAGATTATTTCAGATTTCTTACCACGATATGTCTTTTTATTTTCGCGATATTTCCGAACGGTTCCACACTCCATGTCATGTCATGAGTTGACAGGTTCCGGTTCAGGATTTTACCATATCATGGTAACAAACCTGTATTAGTAGTAATCATTAAGTTTATTTGTGGTAAAAATAGAACAAACATTGTTGTTTATGATGTTTTAGTAATACAGTCCTGAGAGGTTGTTAGTACTTTATAAATAATCCCGTGTGTGTTATATAATATTTTAAGTTTAATGAATTTTGTGTCTTGATAAAAAAGAATCATTGTAAAAAATATAAGTCATAAATTTCTGTTCCAGGATTTAACAAGAATTCTTCAGTGATGTGAGAGACATTCCAAAGCGATAAAAATTTATTTAAAATTAAAAAAAAAAAATTCTCTTAAAAATGACGATAATCTCTCAAAATTTCTGTTTCTTTACATATATATGATAATGATATATATTTTTTGTTGTTATTTTTATAACAAAAAATATGTAAACAGTTCTTTCAATTATTGTATATTTGCTACACTTTCAAAAAGAGAATTCGTCACTATATTTCAATTTAAAATACTATGACCAGGTATAATATGATCTTCACTAATATAAACAACAATAATAATTAATATACAACAAAATGATAAAAATGAAAGTAAATTAATTTGCTATTCCGCGAAACCAAATAATAATAAAAATGAGATAGAATAGAATAGAACATTAATTTATTTCCATTTTTATTAATTTGTATTTCCGCATTGTAACGAATCTGTTAATTACAACAAAATATTAAGTATACAATAAAATTTTAGTATAAAATATTTCTCGGAAGAAATTCCTCTACAATGAAATTCTGTCCTTTCTGTAACTTCAAGATATAGGTACCTGAAGTTTTTTTTGCTAATAAAAATATAAATTACGCTGGTTTTGTTCAACAATAAAGAGTGAAACACACTGAAAGTGAGTGCGGATCGGGTGCGCGTCGTATTATATTATATATTCCGTGTATTTATATGGACGACAACATACCACGAAAGGGCGCGAGACGGACGCAGGTCAGGTCCCGCACTCGGTTTCAGTGGTTTCACGCTTGGAACCGAAACTAAATAACTCAATTTCGCTATATACAAGAACTGTATACATATATTTTTTAAATGTATTATTTACTATCAAATTTCAAAGAAAGTGATATAGACGTCAATTCTGCTTAGCTCGTTGCAAAACAGAATCGACATTATAATGCATTTATAACAAAAAAAAATATATATAATGTACAAAACTATTACATATTTTACATATAGTGATAGGTATATAAATGAAATATGTATATATATGTTTTTGAATATTTTTTTTGTTATGTTATGTTAATTTTTTTTTAATTGTAACGGCTTTTGTTATGTGCGTTGGTAAGTCGAAGACAAGGTTTGAGGATCTTATAGATCATAGGTTCCCAAACTTAGCTCACCACCCACTTAGGCCAAATAAAAAAAATCTAACGCCCACCACCATAAAAAATAATTGAAAACACGTATGTTTATATTAACTTATCAACAAAAATCACAAGAAAATAATTATGTACTCATTATGTAGTGAAGTTTATATAGATAACTCAGATTTTTTTTTAAATATTCAGTAGCACCCCCTGAATAGCATCAGCACTCCCCAATTGCTTCCGAGGCTCCTACCGCCCCTAAAAGATTCTTGTGCGCCCACTGGGGCAGTAGGGACCACTTTGGGAAACTATGTTATAGATGTTTCATATCTATACAAAAATCATTTAAAAAATCAGTTATGACTTTATGAGTCAAGGTTAGTTCAGAGACTAACCCGTCCTACTCTTGAAGATTTGTAATTTTAACACAACGTCAAAAAAAGTCAAAATATTTCTTAGGTAAAATAAATACTTGAAAACGTCATTTTTAACCTACTCCTCATTCACTGTGCTGGTTTCCTTGCGAAGAACGAGCAAGAAACTCGAGGGATTGCTATTTTGAAATGAACTTAAGTGCTATGGAATACACTTTGAATCTTTGGAATCTAGAGCCATGCCGTCTACAAACAATTATTTTTGGTAAAAATGTTATAATAAACTGGAACACGTTAGCTCTTCACAATGAACAATAAAACATAAATGTAAGAGTCTAAGTGTACGTAAAATACAAAAAACAAAAGTAATTCCAAATATAAAAATTACATAAAAAAGTATATGAAAAAACATGTCGCCAATACACACAAAAATTAAAATCATCCAAAATTCCATTCATTTAGCATGCAATATAATTTTTTTAAAGTGGTAGATTTTAATAACGTGCATAACAACCGTCGTTTTATATATAAATATATATACAATTATTAATTACGATTTCTATTCTTTAATTTTAAGTTTTTCATTAACTCTCATTTTATTTACATGTTATTTTTTTTTTAGAATTTTAACCGCAAAAATAATCATCTGATTACGTTCTGTTGTTTAGTGTGGTAATTTTTTTTAATATTGTTTTCTTTTTGTTTTGTATTGGAAATATAAGGGTTCTTGTGTTTTATGGTTACACTACATTTTGTCAAGGACAATGCGGCACTCATACAAAAATGATATTCATATAGTCATTTGACATAAGTTCATTCAAAGGCGTTTCAAATTAAATTTTGGCCCAGAAATTAGCACTTGCCCTTGTACTCATAATACAGGCAAATACACAATGCGACTAGGTGGTTGGTGTACCTGTAGTGTAACCATATAAAATGTATAGTAACCATAAAGCAACATCCTTATTGAAAAAAAAATTGCGACGTCATACAAAATAGTCTATGGTAGTTACCAATAAAAAATTCGATATTTGCCATTTGTAGTAAGAATAATTTTTTTTTTTAAACGGGACAACAATACTTGCTCATGCCTTAAATTACATTATTAATCGGGTCTCCTTTAATAGTCATTACATTGACGATGTTGCCTCCCCGTTGTTTCAATACCAGAACGACCTTTTGTGTTTATCTGGTTGATTGAGATTTAAGATTTTATACCGTCATATTTTATACCATCCACTAGGGTTTTTTCGTCGTTGGTTCATTTCACAAATCCCCACTGGTGGGGATTTTACTGTGGGGATTAAACTTTTATTCAATTTTAATCAACATAAAAAACAGGCCCTATACTCCCGTTCTAAATCTGACATTACTCCGAAACAGTTACTGTGAAATAAGTAATTATCGACCAAATTAAAACACACATGATGCGAATGAAGCTTCATACTTCACAGTGTATTTCAATTTCGTCGAGTATTACTTATTTGCCAAAAATTGTTTCGAGATGAGTACGAGAGTAGACCCTCTGATCTCCACAATAAAGGGAGGCAAGGAGACAGTGTGGCGCGCACGTCTTCTCGCCTTCAGCAACACAAATACGGCAGAACCTCGTCTACGTTAGATGTTGTCAGAAAGGGTAACAGGATGGGTTTGGGATTTTTCGGGTACACACATTACAGATAGTTGAGCTAGACACCCCTAAACCACCACTAACGTAGTAGGTACTTGCTAAGCAGTGGGGATTTGTGGAAAAAAAACCCACCAAGATGTTATATTACAGATTCAGAGAATCCCGTCGTTTCCATTTGTCGTTTATCCATCTCATTATCATCATGTCCCACGTTTCTATAGCCACCATTCAGTTGTCACTTTAAATAAAGCGATGCCTCGTCGCAACGCTATGATTTCAACGCACCAACTGCCACACAAGCGATGCGTTGTCGCAACGTAACATTAGTTTCGCACCGCAGTATCCCCGCTTCGTCTCCTGGCCTCTTGTTAGTCAACGCAACGCCAGTACAACGCCCGTGTGGCATGTCGTTCTGATTTATATGTAATACAACGCAGCGTCACCGCTCAAGCGTCGCAACGCCGATGCAACGCATCGTGTGACATCACACTTACTCCATCTGTCTCCACGCCTCAATATGTCCAGCCTACATTCATTGACCTTGTGAATTTGGGTGTCATTTAACTACGTGACACATACATCATTCTCGTACAACATCAAAAATACTTACGCTGTAATAGCCTACTAAATCTGAGTAACGAGGAAAAAGGAACCTAAGCACGCGCTCGGAGAGATGAAGATAACGTTGCCCGCCGTGTGCAGTCGTGCGGAACCGAATGCTCATAAGTGAACGATTTGTATGAGCGCTTGCGCCGACGTCGGCGTACTCAGCGGTAGGCACTTATCGCGTAATCTTGAGTGTGCGTAAAAAAGCTACGTTTCATACATAGACTGGATTTCGGAATTCGATCTGTAAGTTTGTTGTCAAGCATGACACGCTCTATGGTTTTCTGTGCAATTCTCCACCCCCAATTTTGCGAAGCCATTTACCCATCTCGCTGCAGTACACCCCGGCTAGTAATAGTAACGTAAGGCATGACTGCTAATGGTGTTATTCCCAGAAAACAAATGTCACGGAGTTATCCAACGGTGTTGCAATGTTGGTGCAATGAGATATTAGAATTTCTACTAATATGAGAGGAAAGTGATATTTTCATCGAATTTACGTGACAATGTATCTTCATAAAAGAAAAATATATTGTAAGATAAGTATTTTTTCGTAATGTTGTAAGAACGTCACAATCAAAGAGTTTCTATTTGGTTATTTGTAAAACAAAATCTTGCCAAAGCTTACAAAAAAAAGAAATTGTTTATTTTCAGTTATATATATTTTTTGGCTTTAATAAAATACCATGGCAATGGAAAGGGTTGCTTGCAATTAAGAATTCATTAATTTGGTAAAAAAAATATCATATTGACTGTTGAGAGTTTGAGAAAGGCTAAGAAACGCGTCAGTTATTACTAAGTTATAATCCGGTAGTAAAATTTGTGGAATATCTAAGTGGAGATTTAAGTTGGGTTCTGGTCTGGGTGTTCTGGGTAATGCCCTAGAGTTTCGTTGCTCTGGTACTTTAGCACAGGAAATTCGTTTGAGACCAGGTACACGTTATTCACAAATTTCACTACTTAGTTGTAACTAGTTTTCAATCTAAGTGCCACTTAGCGCCATCTACCTTTCAATGGTATAAATAATTTTTGTTATATTATTTTGGTGCTCGTAATTTTATTATTTTGCCGAATTTTTAAGCATTTTTTCTTTTCATAGATGTTTATAGATTAAATGAGTACATTTATAAAAAAAAATAATTATGTGTTATGATTTCTTTGTTTATTAGAAAAGAATTAAGGGGGCCACGAAAAACAATTAAATAAAAAAATAGACGTGTACAAAAGAGTTCAAAATTGCAACTCAGGAAACCTATAGTTAGTGTCCTCTCTCCTCGTTTACTATGTAGTAATGTCTGACATTTTAGAAGTGAATATTCATACAATTGATATTGTCATATATATCTATCCAGGATACCGTTTGTTTACAATCTTCTGTGTCATTCGTCTTCTATGCTACAAAG